TCAGCTGTCTTCTTCTTTTCATCTGGAGTTATTCTTTCACAATGAATGTGTCTCTGACGATGGAGACGGAGGAGGACCTCCTGACTTGCCTCCAAATCAAGCTTTACCATCCTCAGCAAAGCTGTAAGGACTTTTATGATCGGCTTCCTCTGGGGACCAGAAGAAGACATGCTGCCGATGACCCTCTCAGGCTGGGCCGTGACGACCAGGCCTGTGCCTACATCCTGCTTGATCCCCGGGTGTCCCGTAAGCAGCTGGCGCTCTACGCCTACCACATTCCCCAGAGCTCAGAGATGCTGTTTATCATCCAGAATCTGAGCCAGAGGGGGAAACTGTCAGTGAACACCTCAGCCCTGGGATACCTGGAGAGAATGGATCTGCCAGACAAAGCTCTGATCCGGTTCGGAGAGTATGAGATCCTGATCATCCGTGAGTCTGGTGAGGCCAAGGCCAACTTTGAGGTAGAGTTTGAGGTGCTGGCAGTACCTCCTTCCAGAGAGACATCCACGTCTCTCTGGAAGGAGCAGACATCCATGTCTCTTCCTCCAGTCATGGAGACATGCTCAGATAGTAGGATTAGTTTGTCACCCAAAGATAGCTCCTTTGGCCCCCAGGAGAGTGATGAGACTCTCCCTTGTTATTCATAACCAACCATTACTGCTTATTCACGTGTGACTTTTTTTGTTGTTATTTACTCGACTTAATGCTCAGTGCATTTATTACATTAGACAAGAAATCCCTCTTTGTATATGTGAAATCAATATTTTGCACCCTTTTCGTATCCTGTCTACATAAGCTGCATTGTTAATTTTGCAAATACTGTTAAAGTTTGAAAGTTATGACTGAGAAATAAACAGTTTATCTGGAATACAGTTGTCTGCATGTTGATTATTTTGTTTTTGTTTTTTGGTGGAACCCTTTACTCTAAGGCGATCATTAATCAAAGAATGAAAAAAGTGTGGCTTTGCATTGAAGACAGAAACAGGTTTTTCTAGAAATCATTGAGATGAAGCGGTAACCTTTCAAGCCTGTAGAAATATGAGATCTCCACACAACCATGGCAGCTTAGGGGAAAACACAGCACTATTCTAGAAACAACACACATTTATAGAGTTGAGAAAAGCCATTCCTAGTCTGGAATGTGGTCACTGTCGCTGCCATGCAGGCGGTAGTTGTACGAGTTTCACATACTCTAAATGATATCTAGCAATGTATTTTTGTGCTCTGTGGAGGACGTAATTGTGTGAGACCACTACTTACTACCTGTCTTTATCAAATCAGTTCAAATTATTCAGAATTCGGGTTGAAATGGTTTTTCACCATGAAACATGAAAACAGGAAAAAAATCTGCCCACAACTACCAAGACAGCTGGTCCTCTAATTATGTCAAACAGAAAAGATGCATCCAGATTTCAGAGAAACGTAAAGGTCAGAGCACACAAACCAGAGGGATGTCCTCAACTACGAAGATAGCATTAGGCATGAAAACATTGTGTATGTGGATAACCTCAGATCTGAATTTACAGGTTTCTGGTTGTAGCTATGAATCGAGGCAGATTCTTCAAGATTAGGCAGCCCATCAAAGTAACGATCTTGATATCTCTGAAAGAACGTCCTCTGGGAGGTGAGAACTCTCTCAAACAGTGCTGTCATGGAAAGACGATTCCCTTCATTGGCTGGTGTCCTGTATGGCAACTAAGAAACCAAATCCCACAACTTCAAAGCCTTAGCTTCCATAATAGACTTTGGGTGTTGTTATTCTGCCCCTTTCAAGTTCCTCAAACCCTGGCCTGAACTTTCACCTTCCAGCTCTAATGTCTGTCCCCCTTCAACAGTTTGAGGAAAATGCTTCACTCAGCACTCTGTCATACCAGCTATGATCATGGAAGTGCCACTGGTGACATGACCTAACCAGTTTTCAGTATTCCAATATGTTTCATTGATCTGTTGTAATTCACGTGAAATAAACTAAAAATTTAACTTTGCATTAAATCCACATAAAAATGAGGCAAAATATAATTCTGTGATCAAATAAGACTTGATGTCCACTACAAAAGACTGAAGATAAAGAATAACAAGTAAAGAAATAACAATTCAAAATCTAAGTATTAAAAAAAATTTTCTCCTTGGATGAGCGCACACGATTTCCAAGTATTTGTTTGATTTAGGGGAAAGTGACTTAGGGACTAGAGGAAATGATACTTCGCTCTTTAGCAGATCCAATGAACTCACTTCCAGTTTCACTGTTCATTGATTAGGCAACTATAGTATCCATCTATGCATTCTGCCCCTCACTCAGTGGAAACATCTGTTTAAAACCTGGATTCAACACTCCTCTGCTTTAACTGTCTGGTTTCTCACAAATGAATAACATCATGTTAGTGAGTGCTGAATAAGCACAGCTGTGGAATTGTGCAAATAAAATCACACTGACTCATTGTGCTTTAGGTTTTTGGGGAGGGAGTATGTGATGACTGTATGTTTTAATGCTGCAGGCAGTTCCACACCCCTCCGGTGAAGATAACACTTTGTAGCTCAAAAACTACACTTTTGCACTCGGCCTGAAACCAAAGCAGCATCAGTCTAAGTCAGTTTATATGCTGAAGTCTGACTTTTATAGATGCTTTGTGCTCAAATCAATCAACCACTTGTAATTAATGATATGTGACATTTAAAGATCTCATAATAACGCCCCGAAAGAACACATTGCTGTCACATAGCTGGGTTCTTGTGGTTCCTGGGATATTTAAAAGTAAAATTGAAGGAAGAGCCTTCTGGTTTAAGATCCCTTTTCTGTGAAACCAACTCTCAGTTTAGATTCAGGGGAAGATACCCTCTCTACTTTTAAGATTAGGCTTAAAACTTTCCTTTTTTATAAAGTTCTTCCTCTCCTCATCTCCAGCCAGACATCTCAGACGGCCCCCGTCCCTGAGCCTGGTTCTGCTGGAGATTTCTTCCTGTTAAAGGGAAAGTTTTTCCTTCCCACCGTCGCTAAGTGGTTGTTTGATTGTTGGGGGTTTCTCCATGTTATTGTAGACCTTACAATATAAAGCTCCTTGAGGCAACCGCTGTTGTGATTTGGCATAAATATATAGTCATCTGACAATTTATTAGATATACTTTACTAGTATGAGTTTTGCCTTCAGAACCATAATTCTTTATGGCATAGATTCAGACATTTTGGTCCATATTGACATACCGATAGCATCACACAGTTGCTGCAAATGTATGCTGTAAAAATCCGGTTCCACCACATTCCAACGGTGTCCTTATAGACTGAGACCTGATGACTGACAACCACTGGAGCACAGCAAACTCACTGTCACGTTCAAGAAACCAGTTTGAGATAATCTGAGCTTTGAGGCATGAAATGTTATCCTGCTACAAGCAGCCATCAGAAGATGGCTACTACCATAAATGGATGGTCAACAATACTTGGGCAGCTGTGGCATATAAGCAATTCTCACTTGGTACTCAAGGACCCAAAGTGTGCCAAGAAAATATTCTCCACATGCTCGCAGCATCAGAAGCAGCATGAACCTTTGACATGAGGCAGGGTGGATCCACACTTTCATGTTGTTTACACCAATATTTGGTTACAGCAGAAATTAAGAATTATCAGACTAGCCAACATTTTTCCGGACTTTTATCGTCATACTTTGATGAGCCTGTGCAAACTGCAGCCCGAGCTTCCTGTTATGACCCCTGGTGTGGTCTTCTGCTACTGTAGCCCATCTGCTTTATAGTTCAACATGTTGAGAATTCAGAGATGCTCTTCTGCATACTTTAATTCTCGTCTGACACTGGACACCAACAAAAATATTTATTTATAATACAAAGAACTGGGTATTTTTTTTATTTTTTATGTCTTACACCCTAGAGATAGTTGCCTGGAAAAAGGTTTTGTTTTAAATCCCAGTAGATCAGAACAACCCATGCTAGCAGGCTGTGTTAACCAGTTCTACATGCGTAAATGCATTGAGTCGCTGCCATGTGATTGGCTGCTTAGGAGCAGTTGAATTTATGCAACTTAAAAAAAAGATAATTAAAAACTTCACTATCATATAACCCTAACGTACTGTATGATGTATGATGCTAACTTTTAAAAATAGAAATAAAGAAATCACAACATTTTCAAATGTAAATTGTTTATTTCATAATAGCTAAAATTCAAAAGGTAGAAAATGGGAGTTAAAAAAAAAGACAAAAAGTAGGTCCTTGTAGTCAACTGCAACATACAATAACTTTCAATTACAGAGGGAATTGCAAAGAGGGAAATAGGAAAACTAAGAGGTTTTCCTATTTCCCTCTTTCCCACATTTCTTTTTTACCCTCCAATCAAAGCAGAGATGTAGCGACACAGCTGTCCCATCGCCCATGATGTTCACTCCAACTCATCAACCAATCATTCAAACTTTCAGTGAGGGACAAAAATCCATACCCTGTAAGAGCAGACACTTTAAACAAGGTTCACAAATTGAACTGATCAAAGAAGAGTCCCTTTACCTTAAACTGCATTCTAACCAGGTCCTTCCCAGCTTGTAATCCCATTTGAATTCACTTCTAGAACCGGAGCAAGTGCCAGAGGAAAGACACGTCTGTGAACAAAGACAGATTCAAAGACTCCATAACATGCCTTCAATCTACATGAATCAATTCTAACAAAGAGAGACAGTGTTGCTAAAATGCTATTAAGTAAAATGTTATTTATATGGCACCTTTTAAGATTAATATTAAAGTGCTTTGCAACAAAATACCACAGCATTTTTTTTTTAAAGTTATTACCATTATTGTAAGTGCCAGGGTTTTTTGTTTGTTTTTTTTTACTTTCAAAACTGCAACAGCATAAAAAGTATGAATCCAAGAAGACAAAGTGTGATCATTTATTGCAATACCACAGTTTAAGCAGCATGTACCTGTTTTAATCTGGGTGCTGGACATCTTCTGAGGACGACTTACTATGAGCTGGCATCTCCTGCACTGAATCTAACAACCTATAAAGAGCACACAGGCTAAGAATATCACACACGCATTTCATGTGTTACATATATTAATTTAGAAATAGTAGAAAAATGACTAAAATGTATGAAATGAAGGATGATACAAATAAATAAACTTTGGACAGAAGCATGGGGCCATCGATGAAAAACCCAAGGTAGGCAATGGGAGATGACTGACGAAATGTGACTTCAAAACACGGAGAAGCCGGTGTACACAGCTTTAAAAAAAATCTTTGTCTAGCCAGAGTGGAACGGAAGTTTAAGTTGCCTATTTTTTTGCGACTTTTGGGAGTTGACATTTCCGTACTTCATTAACTGCGCTGGATTTGAGCTTTAAAGTTAAATCAACTTTTGGTTTCTTTTTGCAGTCTAACCTGGCAAGAGTTCAAGAAGGCAGTGGTAAGTCTCGGGTGTGTCACAAAAAGGGGGGAGAGGGGCAGGGGGTTAATAAGCATTATAGTTTTTCACACTTTACATGGAAAACCAGTCTGGCAGGTTTTCTAGTAGTGAGCTGAGGATTAAAAAAATAAACACCTACCATGTGTCATGCTGATAATATCAGGACTGAAGAGTGAAACTGAAAGTGTTTCAAGAGTAAAGAAAGCTAAATCTTATCTGACGAATTGGTTTTCGTCCTAAGAGGCCAACGCAACGAGGAATAATTTCACAGTTAAATTTTTTTTGTTTTGTTTTATTCATTTATTAAAAAGCTTTCAAAAAAAGCAATCTGTAAAGTAAATAAAAATCATACATAAATGGTGGCTAAGGAGTCTACTGTCGCATGAAAAGAACACAAAGTGTAAAAAGAACAAAACCACACTGAAACTTCATGCTAACATGTGTCGCAAATCTTAAAGATTGCTGTACAACCTCCAACAGCAGGTGTTGTATTTAAGAACTACTATGCTGAAATTTCTTTAAAACTTGGATCAATAAGCATTTTGTAATCAACCAACAATCTTAAAATAAACAATTTTTGCTTACAAAGCCTACACGTATTTGTATCTAAATGAATCCCTTGTTCTAAAAAGAAGAAATAGGTCACAGTTTCCCAGATTACATTTTCCACTTAGAAAAATTGAAAAGCAGAGTGTCCAGTTTTGGTCACACTGGAAGTCCAAGCACCTATTCTGCAAAACATTTTGAAAGCTTTTAACAGGAAAACAAAGAGAGGAGGAGAAAAAGGCATGATCAGCTCAGAAGAACTGCAGACAAAGAAATCGTATATTTTTAAAATACGGGGCTGTCCGCAATACAGTATCTTCCAGTAAGTCTCAGCAAACGCAACGCAATCCGCCATAGACATGGGAGGGGGGAGGGGTGCGTATAGCGCCACGTGCATCAGCAGACGACGACGATCTTGTCATATTCTAAACCTGGAAAAAGAGCACACCACACATGTCAAGGAGCGCGTTTTACTTAGGATTCGCGCAACACTGATCTGAGAAGTTCAAGCAATAATATTTTAGGATTCTAGCAGCACCGTTTAAATTCCTTTATTATTAATCTGAAGGAAATTTTGAGTTTTGGCTGATGGTTTAAAGCGTGATTCTACCTCAATTAACGGATTCAGCTCTCATGTATATTATAACTTTTGTTTCCGTGTCATTTCTGCTTGTTATCAATGTGATTAATGAGTTCATGAAGCATCCACTCTTTGTTCTCACCTTGTATTACACTCGAGGTGTCTTAATAGCCTGCATAGCGAGGCGGCGGCGGTGGTGGTGGCGGCGGCGGCACTCTCTCCGAGTAGGCTTCCCGGGGACGGGGAACTGCGTACATTGGCGCCCTTGACATTGGAGACAATCGAGAACGCTCGTAGGAGTAACCATTACCAGCTGCAGGAGCAGGCGGAGGGGGGGCTCTTCTGATAGGGCTTCGATCCCTCGCCATGTAACCTGCAGGAGGGGGCAGTGGACGCCGCTCATACGGATCAAGAGAGCCCATTCCGAGACGCTCCCTAACCAATGCAGAGGGAGGAGGGGGTGGAGGGGGGATGGCACTGGGACGCCTGTCATCGAAGTTCGGGGGGTAAGGACGGGCTCTGTATTTCTCATAGAAATCGACCACCCCATAAGGTTCTCGATCGCCATAGCCACGATCAGGATACGCTGCTCGTCTCGGAGGAGGGGGAGGTGGCGGGGGCGGAGGAGGAGGAGGGTAAGCGGACATGCGGCCTCTGTAGGGAGGCTCGGGTCTCTCCCCTGGAAAGGGAGGAGGAAAATAGCCTCCTCTCACAGGCGGAGGTGGATACTCCTCCTCCTCTGGTTCCCCTCTCGGTCTGCTTTTTGATATTTGAACGTGTATGCGTTTCCCTGCGAGAGAGAAAAACATTGTCCCTCAAATCTAAAAAGTAAGGAACCCCTGAAAAACCCCTTATAGACCCAAACATTTACGCTTACCTTGAAACTCTGTATTATCCAGGCCCTGCAAGGCATCCATGGCCTCGTCAGAATTAGGCATATGCACAAAGGCAAAGTTTTTGACGATGGAGCACTCCGTGACATTGCCATACTCCAAAAACAGGTCACGGAGCTCTTTGTCAAAGCCCTTCTCCACATTGGCCACGTGAAGCTTCACGGGGCCCTGGTTCTTGCTTCTGCTTGGCTCTACGTTGATGGGTCTGCCATTCAGCTTATGAAGATGCAGTTCACGGATTGCTTTGGTGGCAGATTTGCGGTCTTCCATGTGAACAAAAGCATAGTTTTTGTACTTGGCACATTCTGTTACTGTGCCGTACTGAGTAAACAGAGCTTCAATCTCATCCTTCTCAGTGTTCTGAGAGAGGTTACCGATAAAGATCTTTACCATTGTTGCTCCAGTGTAGTACCTACAAAAGGTAAACACAGGATGTGTCATCAGAATCCGCAATAGAATAAAATAAGCCTCTGTCCTGATCTCCACCACAGTACCGTTTACTGAAGAGTTTGGGTGGGTGTTTTTGCTTTTTAGGAATCAGAAGTAACAAAACAAATGGGTTGATGATTAATGTGGCAGAACACCTTAAAGGATGTTAACACTAGTCTTGAGAAGGATATATGTACGTCACTTTTCCAATGCAAATAAAGACTGTGTCGCTCGTCTACAACAGGTAGCAAACTAACATGACATACATATGTTCTGTAAGTGCTGCCACTCACAACAGCAGAGGGCGGAGACAAAAAGCAGCAGTAAGCTAGACAGCTTCCAACAGCCTTCTGTGTGTAAAGAAAATTCTGCTTCATTCAGTAAGTCATCAGACAGTGCCCCTCAGTGACAATAAACCCTGTTTGTTTGCTTTGTTTCAACTTTCTTACACTTCACCCTGATTCACTGCATACGCAACAAAACAAGAAACCACAACAAGTTATTCTGGTTTGACAAGACCAACAAGCAGAGCGCCTGCTCCAAAAAAAAAAAAAAAAAAAAAAAAAAAAAGCGACTAATATTTGGTGTTCCAGTATGAGGGATTAACTCGTATATATGTTTATTAAGACTTTCATAAATACACAAATAGAGAGAAAGAAATAGAATAACTCAAATGCTGCCTTGCTGACTGCATTTTTTACCCAGACTATGATTTTTTTTTCCCCCAATTTACACCAAGCAACTGTGTTTGCAAGGCAAACTATTATAGAAGAAAAGGGTGTCTGTCAGAAAATAGCCCCACGTCCACGTGATGTCACATCAAGTGACGATGAGTCGTGCAGGGACCCTGTTATTGACTTTTGCTGACTGCAGTCACGTGAGCCCTCACATGCGAAGAGACAGTCAAGCAAGCTGCACCACCAGCCGTACCTACAATGTTGTTGCACTTTTCTTATACATATTACGGTACGGGTGCCGACTGGCTTATATACACAAGAGTCAAATCAAGAGTTTTGAAATATTTGCAATTTTCTCACTATACTGTACATTTCTATTCAACTTGATCTTATCCCCAATTTAATAAAATTGTAAAACTGTATTTTTGATATTGTGTATTTTTTTTTTAGCATTTATTACAGGAAAACTATTACAGATGATGCAAATATTTCACTGGATTCTTACTCTGGATCACCCTCACTCTTCCTCTTCCGCCTCACAGCTCTCTGAATTGTACGGTTTCTGAGAAATTTCTGTACTGTACTTTGAATAATTTCATTTTTTAGCTGATATTACAGGGAACCCGTATGAGGTGACAAATATTTCACTGGATTCTAACCCTAGGTCACCCTGACTCTTCCTCCTAATGAACTGTACGGTTTGACAGAACACAAAAAAGTTCCTCACCAGATTCCTGTGCTCCGATTTCTGCCCACCCTTAGTACACCCAACCAATACAGTGTCAACCCTCTTCAGTTTGCTTACCAGCCTTGTGGGAGTGGAGCAACAGGTGCAACCGGTAGATAACTCTGACAACACTGAAATATTAGCTAATCATAAATTATAATTCTTACACTACACATTGAAAATAACAACAACAAAAAGTACAAATTCTGTAACAGTGCAAAGCTAGAAGTGGAATGAGTTGTGAAATAGTGAAAAATGAATAAGAAGACTCTTGTGTTTCTAAGCCTGTCGGCACCTGTACCGTAATATCCGTAAGAAGAGTGCAACAACATCGTAGGCGCGGCTGACTGTGCGGCTAGCTTGACCGCGGTCTCCCGCGGTCCTAATCAAGCGCACGAGCTCATACTGACTTTCGGTTCCTTGCTGGTCCCACCCTCCACACAGGTCGTTGCTGTACATGTTTAAAAGCGAGGTGGGGCAGAATAAAGGCGCGGTTCATAGTGGTTTTACAAAAAGGGAGCGTAGAGAAAGCTGTCTGAGTCCCAATAGTGAATGTACAACGTCATTATGAGGAAATAGAAAGCTTGTAATGGAGTCGAGCGAGGAGGGCCACCACAGTAAAGCGATGACTCCATTTATCGTCATCGCCCATATTTAGCTTTCATTGCATTCGTATTTAAAATTAGCCACCAGCGTTAGCCTAAAGCGGTCAAATTCGGGGGACTTCAGTAAAACCTAAGTTCAGTAAGTTTCGTGTTTGCACTTCCTGGCCGTAAAGCTGCTAGCCAGGTTGCTGTTAGCAAGCTAATATTCGTTACCGACACTCACGCGAACTGGCTAGCAAAATAAAAAATAACTTTAACAACTGAAAATGTCTGACGTTGCAATTGTGAGTCTGTAAAAGTAAAATGATGACACCTTAGGAAAAGGACAGGAGAACAACACCAAAAACTACCATACTCACTGATTGTGAACTGTGCAACAGCGAGGTCGAAACTCCAAAGATGAGTAGTAGATATCTGCTGGCGGTAGAAGCGCACGTAAGAATCTGATTGGTGGGAAGGTGTGTCGCTCAATAAGTCTGGGCTGCCATTGGGTGACGGGTTTAGTTTTATTCTGAAAGGGCTTCCGTTGCACTAGCGTGACGGGGTGTAGCGCGAACGAGTGTTTTGTAACGAGATCCTCTAGCTTGTCGAAAACCGAAACCAAGTTTCTGTTTTCTATATCTAAATCGGACACTAAAAATACCCTAAAAATAAATGCTTAAAAAAAGACGGCCTTAACCTCTCGCTGTATTGCTCACAGTAAACGCAGTGAGTGAATAGTGACAACTTATAGAACTTATTTCTAAGTTAAAAGTTTAATATATGAGAGTAAAAATGTCGTAAACTGCGCAGAATCGATGTCTCATAACCCGACATAAGTGAGCAGCAAAGGAGAACAACAAGTACGCAAAATAAGGCGCTGCTCTTGTTTTTCATGTCTTCTCTAACACCGAACCTGTGTTTGCTTTACCTTCACAGTTCATGTGACTGCTACAGGCCAAATTATGGAAATTGGAAATTCTTGCTGTCACTTACTTGCTTACATAATAACCACTGGGTCAGTCTGAAACTTGTGTTATAATACTCAATGGAACTTCCTTCAAATTTAAAGCTGAATATTTTTTTTCTCCTTAGCTAAGTATCATTAACTCACATCATTATTTCTTATCAGTAGCAAGTATTTGAAGGGCATGTTGATAACATCTTAAAATCTAAATAATAACAACATTAAGATCATATGATCTTGTGTAATTTAGCTTCTTTTTTTTAAACACACTATATAAAATAATAGAATTATTCAAATTGCCATCTGTGTACAAAAAGCAATTACTAATGTAGCTAGATCTTTTTACATGAGGTTGCAGTGCATTATTAAACATTACTTATTTAGCATCAGCACTAGATTATTAGAATGACATATTCTTATGAGTGAAACTAAGACTGTTTTTCATCATTGAACCACTGCTTTACTTTTGCTAAAATGCCCTTTAAAAACTTACAACTTAAGACATTTATTTAGCAGTTAGTCTGCAAATGTGACATAACAGTAAACTTCCAGTAGAGGGAGACACAGACAGAAAAACGCAAAGGAGTTGACTCATCATTACTTAGGGTAACTAATCAGGTGACACGCCAGTTTTGATAAAATCACTTCTTTATCTAACAAGGAGGAAACCTGCTGAGGGCAAGCTGTTGTGAATGTGTGTGTCTCAAGCCATAAAACCTTTTTATGTAAGATGTCATGCACAGTAGCACCAGTTGCCTTGAAGAAATAGGCTGATGGTAAATAAAAGGATGTTATACTACTGGCCATATATATCAATATATTTTTCCCAGTGTGTGAGTACTGCATGAATTTCCTTTTGTTTTACCTTTACTTATGTAGCCTACATTGTTATCATTTACTCATACTAATGTTTGTGGTGCATTTATATTTATCACTCTTTAACATCTACACATTATAATGTCCCCCAACAGAATGTTACAAAAGAGCCAATGTCCAGTCTCAAATCCTGGATTATACTGGACACTAATTTGGCGAAACTCTGGGTATAATATACTAATATCCTTACCTGCTGAATAAAGTCTTTCATTTTCCCCCAAAAAAATCCTTTTTGTATCCACCATCAGATTTATGTATGTACGTAAAGTCAAACTCTGCAAACACAACCATGAAAGGATGTTTCTCCACCACCCCGTCTCTAAAAGCTTCTGACTTCTATCAGTTTTAATGCAGAAGCTGCTGTCTATCAAAGAAAGCAGCCATATGCTTGTATTATAGTACATTTCTCTCCTCTTGGTTTATTTCAAGCACTTTTAATCACACATTTGTCTCTTTTTGCTTTGAAATTTGATCAGCTACGTTTTCATTTATAGCGATCTGCACTCATCCTTAAGATGGGCTGACCCGGTCACTAAAGAGGTGATGACTCACCATTTGTAGGGGCTCAACGAGCAAATAGAAACTATGTTGCTGTAAATACCCCGCTGAATCACTACTGTGTAAAAGTACACGTTTTAAAGAGACATTTGATCAGATAGAGGGTGGGGTCTCATATCTGTATTAGACATTTAAAGTATTTTACTTTAATTATTCCATATCACAATAAGTCACCTTAACATGCTTTATATTGTAAAATAAAAAACTTAAGATTACAGCAGACCACCCACTACGAGCAAGCACTTGGTGACAGTGGGGAGAAAAAAAAACAAAAAACAAACAAAACCTTTTTAACAGGAAGATGCCTCCAGGAGAAGACCAGGCTCAGAGAGGGTTGACTATCTGCCATGAACGGTTGGTAGAGTTGAACAAAGGTCTTAAATCCCTTTAAAAATCTGTTCTTTCAGGTGCAAAAATGGTTCTTTGAAAGATTTTCCTCACATCTAATTAAACCTCACTATGCTTATTTACTCCTAAAAGATTTGTTTTTTTAAATGAAAAAGAGGGTAGGAGGGGTGGTGTGAGATAATGGCCAACCAAATACTGGAAATAACAGACGATGCTTCTTTAAATTCAAAATAGGCTTGCTTAAAA